ACACACCACCACTAACCCCACACTACCTACACACCACCACCACCACACACTACCTACACATCACCACCACCACACACTACCTACACACCACCACCACCACACACTACCTACACACCACCACCACCACACACTACCTACACACCACCACCACCACACACTACCTACACCACCACCACCACACACTACCTACACACCACCACCACACACTACCTACACACCCCCACACTACCTACACACAACCACCACACACTACCTACACACCACCACCACCACACACTACCTACACACCACCACCACCACACACTACCACACCACCACCACCACCACACACTACCTACACACCACCACCACACACTACCTACACACCACACACTACCTACACACCACCACTAGCACACACTACCTAACCCACCACCACCACCACCACCACACACTACCTACACACCACCACCACCACACACTACCTACACACCACCACCACTACCAACACTACCTACACACCACCACCACACACTACCTACACACCACCACCACCACACACTACCTACACACCACCACCACCCACACACTACCTACACACCACCACCACCACACACTACCTACACACCACCACCACACACTACCTACACACCACCACTAGCACACACTACCTACACACCACCACTAGCACACACTACCTACACACCACCACTACCACACACTACCTACACCACCACCACCACCACCACACTACCTACACACCACCACCACCACACACTACCTACACACCACCACCACTACCACACACTACCTACACACCACCACCACTACCACACACTACCTACACACCACCACCACTACCACACACTACCTACCACACCACCACCACCACACACTACCTACACCACCACCACTACCACACACTACCTACACACCACCACCACCACACACTACCTACACACCACCACCACTACCACACACTACCTACACACCACCACCACCACACACTACCTACACACCACCACCACTACCACACACTACCTACACACCACCACCACCACCAATAACCAACATGAACACACTCCACCAGACAGCGTCCAGGTCACATGATGACAGGTAGTTCCCTCACATAATTTCTGAGAATAAACAAATTTCACACATTTACACAATGCTAATCCAATTAATCACTGAACATTCTTCTCAATAATGAAATACCCGCACACAAAATTACAAATTATAAAGAATCCAAAGGCAACGAATATTGCACAAATAACCCTTGCATAGGAGGGAGGAGCTTACGACAATGTTTTAGTTCGACTTGGACCATTTTCATTACCTTGTACCTAGTTCAGCCATCAAAACTTTGGAGCCCGGTCCCTGGACCCATTGTGTACCTCTGTAATCTGTAAATACCTTTGTAACTTGTCATGATTGTGACTAGACCTACCTGGAGTTCATTACCTTTGTAAATTGTGAGTTCATTACCTTTGTAAATTGTGAATTCATTACCTCTGTAACTTGCTCAGCTATCAAAACTTTGGAGTCCAGTCCCTGGACCAATTATGTACCTCTGTAATCTTTTGACTACCGCCCACTGGATGGGTATGGGGTGCATAATAAACATATTAAACTAACTAACTAACTAACTTGGACCATTTACAAAGTCACACACTTTTGCAACAAATATGCCATCACAGGTTGACAGGAAGAAATGAGGACACATGAGCACCACATTCAAGACTCGACTCACGGAATCGTAATGACATGATTGCAAACAAACCATACCATGGGCATGGATAGAACCCATGGTCAGAGAGTCGTAAAACTCCAGACCGACGTGTTAACTACTGGGCCAGCTGGCTACAGTAAGATTCATCCAACTAGGTATATTTATACACCATAGGAAGCATCGGTCTGGAGTTTCATGACTCTCTGACCGTGGGTTCTATCCCCACCCATGGTATAAGTGCTGAATAAGCTTTCATGTCAACATTTTCTTCTGTATAGAGCTTTATCAAACTGAAAAGACACATTGCAGATTAAGCTTTTATGTGAGCAACACTTTGCTCTGTATAGAGCTTCATCAAATTGAAGACACACACACAATGCTCTGTGTAGAGCTTTATCAAACTGAAAAGACACATATTTTGGAATAAGCTTTCATGTAATAATAATAATAATAATAATAATAATAATAATAATAATAATAATAATAATAATAATATCTTTATTTGCTACCAGTACATGTACAAGGTATACAGACCATAGCTGACATCAATGACATACTACTATATAGAAAACCACTGTTATGCTGAGCATTTCCCGCAAATTAGGTCAGTTTTGTCCCAGGATGTGACCCACACCAGTCCACTAACACCCAGGATGCAACCCACACCAGTCCACCAACACCCAGGATGCAACCCACACCAGTCCACTAACACTCAAGTACCCATTTTAAACTGATGGGTGAACAGTGACAGGGACAGCAGGTGTCTTATGGAAACATGTCCCTAATGTTTTCCAGTCGTGCCGGAGGAGATTCGAACCCCGGACCTCAGTGTGTGAGCCGAGTGCGCTAGTGATCGAGCTACATTTTGCTCTGTATAGAGCTTTATCAAATCGAAGACACACACACACACAAACCCACATTACAGAACGAGCTTTTATGTGAGCAGTATTTTGCTCCGTACAGAGCTTTATTAAATCAAGACTTAATAAAAAGTCACAATACCATGAATAGGACAACTCACCAAAAGCCCACATCAGGGACTGACATCTCACAACTGACTGGAGTTTACCTGGAGAGAGTTCTGGGGGTCAACGCCCCCGCGGCCTGGTCTGTGACCAGGCCTCCTGGTGGATCAGAGCCTGATCAACCAGGCTGTTGCTGCTGGCTGCACGCAAACCAACGTACGAGCCACAGCCCGGCTGATCAGGAACTGACTTTAGGTGCTTGTCCAGTGCCAGCTTGAAGACTGCCAGGGGTTTACCTGGAGTTTACCTGGAGAGAGTTTCGGGGGTCAACGCCCCCGCGGCCCGGTCTGTGACCAGGCCTCCTGGTGGATCAGCGCCTGATCAACCAGGCTGTTGCTGCTGGCTGCACGCAAACCAACGTACGAGCCACAGCCCGGCTGATCAGGAACTGACTTTAGGTGCTTGTCCAGTGCCAGCTTGAAGACTGCCAGGGGTCTGTTGGTAATCCCCCTTATGTGTGCTGGGAGGCAGTTGAACAGTCTCGGGCCCCTGACACTTATTGTATGGTCTCTTAACGTGCTAGTGACACCCCTGCTTTTCATTGGGGGGATGGTGCATCGTCTGCCAAGTCTTTTGCTTTCGTAGTGAGTGATTTTCGTGTGCAAGTTCGGTACTAGTCCCTCTAGGATTTTCCAGGTGTATATAATCATGTATCTCTCCCTCCTGCATTCCAGGGAATACAGGTTTAGGAACCTCAAGCGCTCCCAGTAATTGAGGTGTTTTATCTCCGTTATACGCGCCGTGAAAGTTCTCTGTACATTTTCTAGGTCGGCAATTTCACCTGCCTTGAAAGGTGCTGTTAGTGTGCAGCAATATTCCAGTCTAGATAGAACAAGTGACCTGAAACATCGTAACAAGTGTCCGCTCCCAAGTGCTGGTCTCCGGTGAATGACTTGATAAAGCTCTACACAGAACAGAAGACTGTCCCACTTACATCATCTGTACTGTATCTCTGCCATTAGCGGCAGTGTGCTGCTCTGATCCGCTCTCGAGATCATCAAACAACACAAAATACAGTGGACCCCCGCTTAACGATCACCTCCCAATGCGACCAATTATGTAAGTGTATTTATGTAAGTGCGTTTGTACGTGTATGTTTGGGGGTCTGAAATGGACTAATCTACTTCACAATATTCCTTATGGGAACAAATTCGGTCAGTACTGGTACCTGAACATACTTCTGGAATGAAAAAATATCGTTAACCGGGGGTCCACTGTAATCAACAGTGCAAACTTCCTGGCTTCATCAACTGATGCAACAGTTAAAGATAAAGGTGAAGATTTTATTCCTTTGCGATGTTTATAATGTGTAATTACAATTTTGATTTGTTAAGTTACAATGAAAGCCACTATCATGCTGGGACATTTTGGGCGGACAAACTAAATTAAGGACTTTGAATTTTAGAGACCATTTCTCTGTAATATATCACTCTAAACTACTTAATTTTGATTTTCATAAGAAGGAATGACCAAACTCAAAAGATTTAGGCATGAAAATAACCATTTGAATAAGATATTATGGTTAATTTTCAAAGCTGGAAAAAATGTCTTCCACCACAAAATCCATGGATGATCGACTCTATTTGTAGGTTGCCCTTCAGTAAAAATACTGGATGCTCGAAACCCACTAACGAGGAAGCACCGAGAGCTGTACTGTAGCTTGAATACCGATGCTTAAACATTATTCACAATATAACTAAGGAGGGGTCTTAATGTTGCAACATAGTGTAAGCGCACCTCTGGCAAGACAGTGATGGAGTGAATGATGGTGAAACTTTTTCTTTTTTGGGCCACCCTGTCTTGGTGGGAAATGGCTGATGTGTTAAAAAAAAAAATAAATAACTTGATCAAAAACCCCTGGCTGTCTTCAAGATCCCTGTCTGTCTTTAAGACCCCTAAAGTCAGTACCTGACCAGCCAGGCTCTGCTGCCTACGTCACTTTGCGTGCAGCCAGCGGTATCAGCCTGGTTGATCAGTCCTTGATCCACCACAAGGCCCAGTCATGGACCGCCCGATACAGAGGTACAATACTAATCTGTGTTGGACCTGACAGCGAGGAGTTACAATACTTACTAACCTGTGTGTGACCTGGCAGCAGAATAGTAATGTACTAACCTGCAAGTGACCTGGCAGCAGAATAGTAATGTACTAACCTGTGAGTGACCTGGCAGTAGAATAATAATGTACTAACCTGCAGGTGACCTGGCAGGAGAATATTAATGTACTAACCTGCATGTCACTTGACGGTAATACTGTAATGTACTAACCTGTGTGGGACCTGACGGTAATATTTGCGACTGGAGAACTCTAAAGAAGAAGAAGCAGAGATGCCGCCACAAGAGGATGGTGTCAGTGGCTCTAGTGGTGTCATTATATCACTATCCTCACTCATCTTTTGTCTGAAAGAAATATAAAAATATAGTACAGTGGACCCCCGGTTTACGATATTATTTCATTCCAGAAGTATGTTCAGGTGCCAGTACTGACCGAATTTGTTCCCATAAGGAATATTGTGAATTAGATTAGTCCATTTCAGACCCCCAAACATACACATACAAACGCACTTATATAAATACACTTACATAACTGGTCGCATTGGGAGCTGATCGTAAACCGGGGGTCCACTGTATACAGAAAGACCTCCTGTGTCCGCAGGTCTGGTATCCACGGTATTAGTTATCCACGGTTTGCCATGGCCCAAAAATAACCCTTAGTTTTGCTTAATAATGGCCTCAGAGTGCAAAAATAGTGATGACGGAAATTTTTCAAAGCCTAAGAGAAGCCGTGAAGTGGTTCTCATCAGCAAAAAAACAATAACTCTTTACTTACAGTCAGTAATTTATCAATTAAACTTTATAATAGGTACGTATAGGACTCATATATAGGGTTCACTATTATCCGTGGTTTCAGTATCTGCGGCAGGTCCATGGAACGTAACTGCCGCAGATATGGGGGTCTACTGTATATGTATTGTTTGATCACGCTGTGTGTGCCAGTTAGTTTAATATCTTTATGCACCCCATACCCATCCTGTGGGCAGTAGTCAAAAGATTACAGAAGTACATAATGGGTCTAGGGATCATATCTCAACATTACAGAACTACATAATGGGTCCTGGGTCTGGGCTCTAAAGGGGTGTCCCTGCTCGGCTAACCTATCTCCTGATATGATACTTTTTCATGTAATCTTAAGGGAGTTGCTTGAATCAGGTATGGTACAATAAACCCTTGACTTAATTTGCTTTTAAAATAATGGGCAAAGTCTACTAGGTAATTTGCACTTTCAACTCCTTTATTTTCAACATTTAATGTTGTATCACTGTAACACACCCGTAGAGAACTATATTAGGTATACATTAGTGAATATACTGTAGTTTTTTTTTTAGATTTTTAACATTATTCCAGTTTAAAGGACACACCTAGCCAAACAAGACAAACCCTAATCTTAACTAAGTGTAATGTAACCTAAACTGGAGTTTACCAAGTTTACCAAGTTTTTTATTATTATTTTATTAATACATTGGCCATCTCCCACCAAGGCAGGGTGGCCCGAAAAATAAAAACTTTCACCATCATTCACTCCATCACTGTCTTGCCAGAGGCGTACTTCCAGTTTTTTATTATTATTTTATTAATACATTGGCCATCTCCCACCAAGGCAGGGTGGCCCGAAAAATAAAAACTTTCACCATCATTCACTCCATCACTGTCTTGCCAGAGGCGTACTTCCACTACAGTTATAAAACTGCAATATTAACACCCCTCCTTCAGTATTACCTAAATAAAAATTTGCACAAATAATAATTACTCCACATTCTACGTAAGGTGTTAAATAATGACCAAGTTCCACTGAGTAGTTGCCGGTATAAACAAATTTTATTTCTTAGCAAAGGCTTCAATTAGTAATTCCCATTTTATTAAAGTGTTGTTAAGTACAAAGAAAGCCACTAACATGGCAGGGTATTTCACACAGACAAACTATAGTTCAAAATGCCACAAATATCTATAAACATTCTGCCCACCTAAGAAATTATGTTTTGGATATTTAGACAGAATTGAGCAAAATAGGACGACTTGGAGGGCGTATAAATCTACAGTGGGGAAAAGGAGGGGTAGAGGTCATCCTAGGAAAGGTTGATGGAAGGGAGTACAGGGTTTGTATGTGAGGGGCTTGGACATCCTGCAGGTGTGTAAGTTGATTCAGGTATACAAATACAGTTACATAGATTATCATACACAGCAGTATATGTGTAAAGAACCTAGGATAACCCAAAAAATTCACAGTGACTTAATTTCCATTGGGGTGTGTGTGTCAGATTGGAGTGATTGGGAGCAAATGGTGTTCATGACTTGATGTGCTGTTGGAGTGTGAGCTAGGTAACATTTTTGAAGGAATTTGGGTAAAGATATGAATTTTTAATCCAGAGGGGTAACCACCCAGGAAAGTAAGCGCATCATCGATGACTGTCTTATTTCCACTGTGGTCCTTCAATTTTGTCCCCCAGGATGCGACCCAAACCAGTCGACTACCACCCAGGTACCTATTTACTGCTATGTGAACAGGGACAGCAGGTATAAGGTAACAAGTCCAGCGTTTCCACCCATGCCAGGGATCAAATCACGGACACTCAATGTGCGAGGCAAGTGTGTTGCCGACCAAGCCACCGTATTTGAGCCCTGGAGGTGGGAAGTACAGAGCCTGCACTCTGAAGATGGTGTGGGAATATTGCAGTTTGACAGGGCACTTGAGCTGTAATGTCAGTAAGCCTCTGACAACATAATGATAGAGTGATGGTTAAGTGTTTCTTTTTTGAGTCACCCGACCTCGGTGGAAAAAAGCCGGAATTAAAAAAAAAAAAATAACAGCAATTAATATCATATACTATATGATATTAATTAAAACAAAAAATTATAATAATAAAAAAAAAAGTTACCAGGATAACCTTACTTACTTACTTACTTACTAACCTAGGTCAGGTCAGATTAGATTCTGGATAAATTGATATCCTAGGATAACTGAGAATAACCTAGGATACCCTAGAATAAACTGTGATATCCTAGGATAACCTAGGATATCCTAGAATAAGCTAGGTTACCCTAGGATAACCTATGATACCCTAGGATATCCTAGGATAGCCCAGGATAACCTAGGACACCCTAGAATAAGCTAATTTACCCTAGGATAACCTGTGATACCCTAGGATATCCTAGGATAGCTCAGGATAATGCAGGACACCCTAGAATAAGCTAGGTTACCCTAGGATAACCTATGATACCCTAGGATAGCCCAGGATAACCTAGGACACCCTAGAATAAGCTAGGTTACCCTAGGATAACCTATGATACCCTAGGATAGCCCAGGATAACCTAGGACACCCTAGAATAAGCTAGGTTACCCTAGGATAACCTATGATACCCTAGGATACCCCAGGATACCCTAGGATAAACTATGATACCCTAGGATATCCCAGGATACCCTAGGATAAACTATGATACCCTAGGATAAACTAGGATAACCCAGGATAAACTATAAGTCAGAATAACTTAGAATAAACCTGGATAACCCAAGATAAACCAGTAATAAATTCCAATACTAAGATTATATTTCCACTGCCCCCCCCCCTGGGAGGTGCCTGGGCTCTTGATCCACGAAATTAGACCTATCCTCCCCTCCCTTGGATCAAATTGCCCCATTCCCAAAGCTCTATATGACCCCCATTGGTCATATAGAACCTGGGTTATTTCCCTATTAATAATAATAATAATAATAATAATAATAATAATAATAATAATAATAATAATTCTGTGAATACCTCTTAAAAATACTTAAACTAGTCACTTTGATGACAAAATCTAAGAAAAATCTAAAAAAGTACCCCATTTTGACATTTTTGGGGGGACTATCCTGGGTAATTAAGACATATATTATATAAAAAAAACTGTAACCATCCAAAGATTGTGTAACTACATGAATAAACTAATTTATAATCCACTGAGACCTTAAATATTTCTTAAGGAGAGGACAGCAAATCTTTCAAAAAATACATATATATAATTATAATACTATTAATTTACCGTTGCTAACAGATAATTATCTTACTTAATGAGATGCTGACGTGTGTTAGGGAGATGAGGAGATGAGGAGATGAGTGTGAGGAGGCAGAGAAGAGAGGAGAGAGGGACCGGTGACCCAGCAGACAGCGACACAGATTAACTGTTTCCCAGTTTTCTGTAGTTCCCCCTAAAAACTTATCCAGATCAATAGTTACTAACACCAGGATGTTCTCTAGTGGTGTTATTTGGCCAGATTTGTGCCACTGCAGAGATAATATAACCTCTTATCAATAACTACTAACACCAGGATGTTCTCTAGTGGTGTTATTGGCCAGATTTGTGCCACTGCAGAGATAATATAGCATCTTATCAATAACTACTAACACCAGGATGTTCTCTAGTGGTGTTATTTGGCCAGATTTGTGCCACTGCAGAGATAATATAACCTATTATCAATAACTACTAACACCAGGATGTTCTCTAGTGGTGTTATTGGCCAGATTTGTGCCACTGCAGAGATAATATAACCTATTATCAATAACTACTAACACCAGGATGTTCTCTAGTGGTGTTATTGGCCAGATTTGTGCCACTGCAGAGATAATATAACCTATTATCAATAACTACTAACACAAGGATGTTCTCTAGTGGTGTTATTGGCCAGATTTGTGCCACTGCAGAGATAATATAGCATCTTATCAATAACTACTAACACACTTATGCAGCATATGGGAACTGATAGACTGAACACATCGACTCCAGGCTGAGGGACTGATTACCTCACACTCCTCCTCTCCTTACGCCTTCCTCTTTGTATTGGACTGATGAAGCCACTGTGTGGCGAAACGTTTCCTGAATAAAGATTCCCATATGCTGCATAAGTGTCTCAATCTTCAACTTGTCGGTTTTCCAAACCATTCATCACAACTACTAACACCAGGATGTTCTCTAGTGGTGTTATTTGGTCAGATTTGTGCCACTGCAGAGCTAATAAATTCATATATAACCTCTTATCAATAGTTACTAACACCAGGATGTTCTCTAGTGGTGTTATTTGGCCAGATTTGTGCCACAGCAGAGCTAATAAATTCATATATAACCTCTTATCAATAGTTACTAACACCAGGATGTTCTCTAGTGGTGTTATTTGGCCAGATTTGTGCCACAGCAGAGCTAATAAATTCATATATAACCTCTTATCAATAGTTACTAACACCAGGATGTTCTCTAGTGGTGTTATTTGGTCAGATTTGTGCCACTGCAGAGCTAATAAATTCATATATAACCTCTTATCAATAGTTACTAACACCAGGATGTTCTCTAGTGGTGTTATTTGGCCAGATTTG